AATTAAAAATAAAGTTGGAGCCCTGACCGGTATGGCTCTGTGGGGTGTCAGCCTGCAATTCCCAGTCAGGGCACATGCCTGGGTCACTGGCCAGGTCCCCAGTTGGGAACATGTGAGAGGCAACTGATCGATCTATCAATCACACACTGATGTTTCTCTCCCTCTCTTTCTCCCTGCCTATGCCTCTAAATAAATAAATAAATAAAATTTTAAAAAAAGTAACAAAGAAATGATGCTGGAGAAGTAGGCAAGGCTAGATCACACGTTGTTAAATGAAGGTTCAAAGCTTTACAGGAAACAACACAAGTTTTCAGATGAGTGACTTGATTAATTTTGTTTTATGAAGACAATTCTCTCTGCTGTGAAGAGTAGGTTAGAGTACAGCAGGTCCTTGAATAACACTGTTTTGATGAGGCAGAGGTGGGAATCGATTCCTGGCAAGGCCACTGTCTGTGTAGTGTGCACCTTCTCCCCACGTCAGCGTGGGGTTTTCTGCAGGTTTCCCCTCACATTCCAAAGATGGTTACGTAAGGTAAATGGACACGTCTAGAGCGTCCAGTCTGAGCGCGAGTGGGTGCCCCCTGTGATGGGAAGGTGATCTGTCCAGGGTGGGGCCCGCCCCGAGCTTCGGGGATAGGCTCAGGTCACCCTTGACGAACTGGAATAAGCAGGTTGGAAGATGAAAATAATTTTTACTTGTTATTAATCTTTCTTTTTAGAGAGAGACGGGAAGGGAGGGCGAGAAACAGCAATGTGCGAGAGATACGTGGATCGGTTGCCTCTCGCATGCCCCCAGCTGGAGACCCGGCCCACAAGCCTGGCATGTGTCCTGACTGGGAGTTCAGCCGACGGCCTCTCCGTTCATAGGTCAGCGCTCAATCCACTGAGCCATACCAGCCCGGGCTAATCTTTCTAAAATGTATGAATAGCTCACATTTATTTCATTGTTTTATATGAGAAGTATTTCAGGTCTTAATTTGGAAGTTTGATGTCGTTTTTGTGACCAGAAATATGCAGCAGGAACTTAACTCTTGTTTATATCAATTAACCTATGGTAAAATTGGTTTTATTATACATTGTTTTGCTTAAAGTCACAGTTTCCAAGAACCTATTGACAATGTTATGGGAGGACTTGCTGAATATGGCTTGGGTTATATACGTAATAGTAAAAACGCAAAGAAATGCAAGGGAATAATAAATTCAAGTCAGCAATGATCTCTGGTAAAAATCCTACAATGGAAGTGGCAGAGAACATACAATCAGGTAGGGAAACACAGAAGAGTTTTATTTCTTAAGCTGCAAGGTACGTATGCAAGTATTTATTGTAGTATTATTACTTTTTTTGTCTTAAATATTTCACATTACTTTGAATTATTCAACTCAATTGGGCAACTCAATTCAAAGTACTGAGTATGTAAGTGCAGATGTTGAACATCCAGCCAGGATCAGAGAAAGGATCTGAACTACAGAGAAAAACTGGGGAGTATTCAAAAATGTATGTGGTAACTGAAGCCACAGAATAGATAAGATAGAGCGGGAAAGAGAGGAAGACTAAGAGCCAAGACTTTAGAAAGAACAATTAAAGATATAATAGAAGAGCAGGGTTGAAAAAGCCTCAAGAACACCCAGAGAACAAGGAGGGAAAACTAGAACCCAAAAGGACAGTGTATTTCAAGAAGGAAATGTTTGAAACTAAATAAACATCCACTCTGGATGGGCAATTAGGAAACCAAGGTCCAAGAATGAATCAAAGAGAACTCTGTAAAAATAGAGAGTCCAGATGTACTTTACCCTGAACATTCCCAAAAGAAATAACTCAGTTAAGTAACAATAAATTCAGTCAAAACTGATAAATCCTACAAAGATGTAGATAAAAAAATAAATCTTTGTAACTACCTGAGATTTGAATACATTTTAGAGATTAGAGGATAAGAATAGGGATGTGTGAACTTTCTTCCATTTTACAGAGACAAAACACCAACACTTACTCTGAAATCCTACACACTTTGTATTTCAAAGATATTAATTTACAGATTGCTAAACCTCTGTAGCATGTTAAACTCTAAGCATTTTCAGAGCAAAAATCAAATAATATCAATCTTTGAACCTTCAGCATCTGGTCCAGTGCCTAAAATAAGTAGTTGACTGGAAAAGAAAAATAAAGGTTCACTGAATGAGTCTGTGGGCACCAGAACACTAGTCCAAATTGTGTTGGTGCTACAGCAATACAGCTTCAAAAAACATTAAATATGGGCTCTACTCATTCCACAGAACACTTCATTTCTTTACAAACAGAATGCTACGTGCAAAGATCTCATCCTTGTCTTAGTTGGGGGGAAAAAAACCTTTGGGCAACACATTCCACAGGTCTGAATGATAAACCTAAGTGCTGTCGGCCAGTGCAGTATCTGCAAAACTCAAGGATGTACTCAGAATGCCAGGCAGTACTGAATGTCTGGTCACTCATTCTTGAGAGTTGTAGAAAATAGCAATGCTAAGACTTAAAAGAATAGGTCCTTACTTCCACATAAACTAAACTAATTAAACTCATCAGTTGCAGCAGTAGGTTTGAAAAACAATTGTTTGCACTTAGCCAGTATTAACAGTTAAAAACTGTTTTCTAAGTTTCAGGTTAATGTTATCAGCCTTCTCAATGGACTACGAAAGCAAAAAAAAAAAAAAAAAAAAAGTAATCCCATCCTTTCTTTGACTAACTTTTTATCAGATATTTTGGATGGAAGCCACATGTTTCCATGCTGCAAGAAAAGCATAAGTTCAGAAATAAGAACTATACTTCCAGTTGCACTTAACTATCCAAATTAGTAATAATGATAATAAAAATAATAATAATGGAAAGGAACACATCTCATTTATTTTGAAATGTGAACAAACTTCAAATTAAAAAAATGCTGGAACTTGTTACTTTACACTGATTTAGGCATGGAGCAAACTATGTATTTATTAAGAAAATGACGCTCTGGATTTTAATTATATATTTTGTATTGTAGGTTCCCAAAGTGAATTGATTTGTAAGCCTAGGGCGGGGGCAGGGAGAGGCTAATCAGAGGCAGACTGTGTATATCTTCCTTTGGCTAATTTATTCAAATATGGAATATGAATAAAAATAATTATTAAGGGGTAACAGTATAAGTAGGATTGTCATGTTCATGATATGGTAACCTCTTAAGTCCTACGGATTAAAAGCTAAAATTCAATTCTACCTTCATGAACTGAATAATAGAAAGTTACCTTGCTCCTTTTAAAGAAAACTGTGGAGCCTACCTAGGACAAGTAGAAAACCAATTCTAAAGTCACACAACCTAAAAAGAAACTTAAAAGGATTGACTTTTAGAAAGGATGTTTATAATGCTTTGGAAAAGTGAACAGTTTAAGACAAATAGTAAATAATATTAAACCATTACAAATTCAGACAAATAATAAAAACTTCCATATAACTTGCCTGTCTTCTCTTCAAAATGTCCTTTGCCTACAACACTGTTTACAAAGATCTGGGGAACACTAAGACACAGATTTGCTTACCAGAGCTTTTTACCTTTTACCCGGAATAGTTATTTCACGTTTTTTGAATTCTGCCATTACATATTACTTAAGAAATCCAAAGCAACTACAATATACAACTCCATGCTAAATTCCAAAAAATAAAATCAGAAAACCCCAGCAAACGGAAAGACCATTCAAAATATTTCTAGTCAAGAGCCCTGTAAGAAAGTTTATTTTTTTTACATTCTTACTGTGAATAGTAATACCTAAACCTCTTTGGGGGTGGAGGATAAAGGATTTGACCCCTAAATTACATTATTAATCCCCTTTTCTATAGATATTAACGTACTCGAGATATGCTGTTCTCCATTTACCAAGGAATTTCATTTGTAGTTTGATTTCTATAGTGCTTTCCCATGTATTCACTTGAACGTATACACAACACGAAGGTATGATAATTTTAGACTCACCAGGCACACAATATAACGCCTACCGAGAATTTATTCTAACTAGATTTATCCGATTACCCAAAGTATCGTCTTAATGCAAACAAAATAAAGCGTGAACACAAAGTCTGTACCGTTGCAAATTCTCAATGAACAAAAATTCCTGCGAACCATAAAACCAAACTCACCCATTACTCCAAGAAAAAGAAATCCTCCCCTTAGAAACAACTGCAAAAGAAAGAAGAAGAAAAAAAAAAACACCACCAATTTCTAAACCACATATTCACGTAAATGGTTTCAATTAAAGCTCCAAACGCTGCGGCCAACCACACAACTGCCCACAATCACAGCGTTAGCGCCTTCTCTTAAATTTTGAATCTGGAGCCGGAAGGGGAAAATAAAACCAAAACAGTCGTCCAAAGTTTCACGGAAAACGGTAGAAATCATTTGAAGTTAAGAAAACGTGTTAATCAAGAGTCAACCATCCCATTTCCCCGCCCCCGCCCCCGCCCCTTCCAGCCCCGACAGCGACTCTCCTCTGAAACCTAGCGGGAGGCAGGAGTCCCGGCGGCGAGATGCTAGAGGAAAGAGTCCAACGTACCCGAGCCGCCGGAAGAAATGTCAGGGGCCGGGCGTCGGAGACAAAGACCAGTCCGCGGAGCTCCCGGCGCGGTCCTGCGCCCCTAACCGCCCGGCGGAGTTGGGAGCACGGCCAAAGCGCCGCCGAAGTGCGCGCCCAGGGTCCCCCCGGCCCCCCTCCCTCCGCCGCGGCCCGGGCCCACCCCCGAGCCGTTTCCCTCCCAATTTGGAAACCGCGCGCCCGGGACAAAGCGGGAGGGCGCGCCGGGCGCGACGGCGGGCCGCGGGTGGCGATGCCCCTCCGGGCTCGGCGGGAACCACTCGGTGGCGCCCCTGTCCCTTCCCCAAACCCTCCTCTTTCCCGGCTCCCCGTCCCTCGCGGCTCCTCTCCCGCCTCCCACAAGTTCTCCCGTCCCCACCCCGAGCCCGCCCCTTGCCCGCTTTTCTTCAGCCGGCCCAGCAGTTCCCCCTCACCGGGCGGCGGGGTCCCCCAGAGCCGCCTCCTCCGCCGGGCCTCAGCCCGTCCCGCCGGCCGCCGCCTCATGTGCCCCGCGCTGCCATCGCCTTCGCCACCACCCTCGCTTCTCCTCCTCTTCGGCCGCCGCCGCAGCCTTCGCCTCAGTCTCCTGCCGAAGCCAAAGCCGCTCCCGCCGCCGCCCGGACCCGCGGGGAGGCGCCTGCGCACTACGCACCGTGATGGGGGCGGGGGCGTCCCGCCGCGGCCTGGGAGCGGGGGGCGTGCGGCACGTGGCGCTCGGGTGGGAGGGGGCGTCCCAGAGCGCGCCGGCGGCGGCGCGAGCGTTTAACTTTACGCGGTCGGGCCCGCGCGCGCTCCCGGGCGGCCCGGGACGCAGGAGAGGCGCGGTGCGTGTAGGTCCCACTCGCGTGAAGACTGCACCCCGGTTGGACGCAGACTTCTCTGAGTCAATGCATTCCAACAGCTTGATTCCCAGGACCCGAGTGCCCCGCCGCCAGGGCCTCACTTGGAGCGGGCGACTAACGGCGCAGTGAAGATACACCCTTACCTGGATATTCTGGGTGGGTCCAGCTAGTCCTGGAGCTGTCCTCTGTGCGTTCCGCTAAGGCCCTGCTCCAGTGTACCGCAGGATGCTGATGTCCCTTTCTAGGTTCTGCTCTAAAATTATTCGAGGATCCTACGAGCCCTTGGTAGGCTAATCATTCTAGCTCCTTTGGGTAGTGGCTTTTAGTGGCGCTTCTAGATACATTTGAGGTCCTGGACCTCTCGGATTAACGAGACCCTAATAGGCCATTTCCTCTTAACTCCTTGCAGCCCAGCAGTCTAAATTTCCTAAAAGTTTGCATGCATAGGAATCTCCAGTCTTAAACTGCCTGGTAAGAATCTGAAAATTCCTTAAATACTTGTAAGTAGCGTGAGTCAGTGCACAGCAACAGAAGACGTGCTAAGGAGATGGGAAAGTATTCTTTACGTGTTTGCCAACTCTCATACTCCTAAATCATCTCGTTTGACTATCATTATACAAAAGGATAGGCTTTTATTTTACCCTTTGACCAGAGAGGAAATTAAGCTCTAACAAGTGAGGTAACTTGCCACAGGTCAACCCCCCCACCTCCGCCCGGAAAGCTGAGCCCGGCCCTAACAGCTACTCCGGAGGTTGAAAATTTGAGGGCTAGGCACCTGGCCCACTAACAAAGTTTTGTTTGGCCAGTATGATGTTTTCCAAAAATTTAATAAATTGCCGGATTTTAAAAACCCTATTTCTGGCTTCTCACTCAAATGTCAAAAAATGTGCTTACCTTGAGCCTCTACATTCAAGTGGCAGCTACTTCAGAATAACGTCTGTTTACCCAGGGCCCTGTCCCCACTCAGCTGCTCGGACTCGCCCCTTAAGTTCTCTTCCCCCCGTCCTTGCCATGCCTCGGTCTCCACCCATCCTCAATTGTCACATTACCTCTACAAATGTATTTAAAATGACAAGTGTGAAGACTGAGTTTATGAAAATTTGAATAAAGAACATGTTTGTTAGCTAAAGTAACACAGGGGACACATCATCGTACATGCTGATTCAAGTATTAAACCTGTCCTATATTGCTAAAAACAAGTATAAATTGGTACAAATCGCTTTGGAAAACTGGCACTGTCTCCTAATGCCAAACCTGTGGATAGATACACTATGACTCCATGGGAATGCCCCAGAAATGTGTATAAATGCTCACCAAAATACTTGTACTAGAGTATTAATAGCAGCACTATTTGTAAGAGCCAAAAAACTGGAAACTACCAAAAATGCCCATCAACCGTTGAAAGAATAAACTGTATTATAGTCACACAATGGGACATTATGCAGCAATGCGAGTGAACAATCTACAATAAGACAGATGAATGTCACAAAACCTTCCATTTATATTAAGTTAAAAAACAGGCAAAAGTAACCTGTGCTGTTAGAAGTAAGGGTAGTGGTTAACCCGAGGGAAGAATAGTTACTGGAAAGGAGCGTGAGGGGCCTTCTTGGGGGACGGTCCTGTTCTGTTCTTAATCTAGATGCTGAATACACAGGTGTGTTCAGCTGCCATATTTGAGCTCTACACTTCTGTGTGGTATAAAAGGACTTCAATAAAAATCTTTAACATGGTGTTAAAACATTTTATTATATATGTATATAAAGAATATATAAACAAATGTAGTTGTATGTGAAAGTTTATTTTTGTATTATTTATTAATTATTGTATTATTTTCTATACAAGCAACTGTAAAACTACTTTTGCCCCACCCTGTATTATGTATTATATATAAATAATGTAACCAATGTTTATTACATATTTTCTCATAAATGCATAGATGAATCTACTGGAGAAGGCTTCCCATCTTGCAGCACCGCTCACTCATCATCGAGGTTGAGAACATCCCACTTTCTACATCTGTTACTACGGAAGGGATTCAGAACAAGGCTCCCTAAGATGGGCCACTTTGACCTGTGAATTAGTTTGAGCTGAAGGCAATCGAGATCCTGGGGGCTCAAGAAACTTCTCACCTCTCCCTTGAAGAATTTAAATTAGAGGACTTGCTCATAATAAGAGTTATCACGAGAAGTAAATTTTTATGACCTATCTATAAGGCAGGGCAGACTTTTAATGACTGAATATCTACTTTTCTTATTGCTCTGTGAATGACCTCCCCCCCAGCCCCCCGCCGCCTTACCTGTCCTTAGATCAGAACACCATCTATACCTCATTTTCCCTTTCTGTTTCTGACTCTGAGGTTAGGGCAGTTCCCCTATGTAGGTACCTAATTTGGCTACTATGTTAATCTCTCTCCCGTCTATTTCATTATCAGACCAGCTGGAAGAACCTAGAAGGGTGGAGGAAAGTTTCTTCCTCCCCTACCCTACCAAACTCCCAGTCCCCTCTCTTCTGGTAGAGTAAACTTTTAAAGATAGACACGAAGAGACCCAAGGCAGTTGTTTTCCTTGCAGATAGTTTAAAAACCAGAAATAAAACCAAAAGCCTTTTATCTCCTACTCAGGACTCTTCCTTCTCTCCTCTGTCACACTGCCAGCTACTGATACCCTTTCATCTAGTTATGGTTGGGAAACTGAGGCCAGAAACCTAAGCCAGGGCATTTCCCGACCAGGCATTCACCAGGATCCAGAGCAAACCAGGGTGTCCGCTAGAATCCACGCTGCTGGAAGGGAGGCCACAGCATACACCCCAACTTCTAGAGCAGAGCCCAGCACACGGTAGCTGCTTAGAAAGTATGTGCAGAGTGAATGAGTGCAGGGAGGCTCTCCATTTCTAGCACAAAAAGGCTACCAGGGGAAGAAAAAGAAAAGCCTCAAGTTTCATATGGAGGCATGGGACTAGTTTCCAGCCTCTGGCACGGAGGAGTGGAGCCAGTGCTGTGAGAACATCCCTTTATTCACATGGGGCCCAGGCAGGAAAAGATCAAAACCCAGTTTGAGAACTTTGAGAGTCGCCCTGGGGCTCTGTGGTTTGGGAACTATAAGGTCAACTTGAAGACTGCAGTGTGTCACTATTTCCATTACACATTTTCCAGGGTCTCCACTTGGCTGGTAAACTCAGAGCAGATTCTTCTGTGCTGGGGGATGGGAGCAGAGGCCTAGAGAGGTAGGAGTTGAGAAAGCTCCCTGTTGGTCAGCGGAAGTCCTGCCTGCCCCAGGCAGGCTGGTAATAAGAATTGTTAAGGACGCTCTTGGTGACTCTGCTAAGGTGAGGGCGGGGGCGGGGGGGGTGGTATTAATGCAACTTCTCCCCCATAATCCCCAGCAGTTTCAGTTAACCTGGCGGGACATATTTTACTACTTTCCCTGCTACAGGGTTGTTGGCTGAAGTGGATTTTTTTTGTTGTCAATTTTTTTTTTTTGAAAAGGTAATACAAGTAGCACAGAAGGAATGGTAAGGTGAGCCCCCACCAGTGCTTCCCAGAGCCTGGTTAGCAGTTTCTTGTGTAGTAATGCTGAATTTTAATCGATTTGCAAATGAGTAGGTAAAGTCTGTGCAGGAGTTGGGGGTAGGAATGAGACAGGATAGTGAGAAGCCAGGAAAAATTCCTTGTCATGTGGAATAGAGAAACTGAGTCAGCCGAACAAAATGGCTGAGCAGTTTACAGGCAGGTGCAGGGTAGAAGGCCCGAGTGCCTGGCAGGGGCAAAGCTGGGAAAACAATGACCTTGCCCCCAGCGTGGCCCTTCCTCCCCTGGCCTTCCCTCCTTGGAGACAACATCCAGGCCTCAGTTGCGTTTCAGCTCCAGGCCCAGAAAAGCAGCAAAACCAAGTGAGTGACGCCAGACCAACTGCAAAGACAAAAGATTCCCTGCCCTGTCACCGACCAATCAGTGGAGACCGTGACCCTGAAGGGCGCACCTGGAGAACTGCTGACTGTTCTACTGAGACCCTCTCCCGAGACCTCCCCTGAGATTCCCGCCTGCAAAAGAGTTAAAAGCCTCCAGACGAAGGACCCAGGGAGCACGCACTCTCCCTCTGGGGAGCAGCCCCTGCCATTTCCTTTCCCTTCTGCCTCCCCTACTTCTTTCCCCAGGAGCACGCATCTCCTAAATGCTAAGGCAGCGGGAGCTGGCAGCTTGTCCCAGGCTCATCCCTTGAACCTGTCCCGAAGGCCTTTTTTCTCTGACTTCCCAGCGAGTGAGCTCAGGCAGCCCGGCCGAGGCTCTCCTGTTGCTTCTTCTATGCAAAGCCCTTCCTTGTTTCACTGTCCCCAGCTTTCATAAATGTGTCCTCACAGCCACCTGGACTCATGCTGTGAAATCATCCCTGCCCGAAGTCAAGAACCCTCACACAACGGCTGGCCCCGGGCAGGCCCGCGGGCCCCTGCCTGGTAACAGGAAGGAGGGCGTAGGAGGGAGATGAAGAGACCTGCTCTGGTGCTCCCGCCAGGCAAGGACTTCCGGACGCGCCCAGACACAGTGCGCTGGCCCAGGACCCTCTCAACCTTGGTGGTGGCGCAAAGGCTCAGCCCTGGAGTGACTGGAAGCCCAGGGTTCAGCAGTTTCCTCTGCTCAGCTGTGTGTGCTCATTTCCTGGAATTTCTGAGATGGTGTGAGAATGAGATGATGAAATGTACATGAAACCACATTAGTAATGGTTATTATTAATTTCTTATTGCCCAGCGGTATATAGTGGTTATCATTATAGGTTGGAGAGCTCAGCCATTCACTTGCGTGATCTGGCTAAGTTACCTACACTCTCTGAGCCTTGCTTTCCTCATTTGTGAAATGGGGAGAATGAGATCTATCTGTTGGTGCTACTGCGAGGATTACATAAAATATGTAAAGGGCCTGTCACCTTAGGCATTGTAGACTGTCAGGACAGTAGTCCCTTTCCATAGTATGCTTTAGAGGAAGCTGGGTATTTGGGTGTTCAAAAGTATCCAACACAGGGACCTGAGCAAAACATTTCAAATCTCTGGTTCACCCATTTGTTATCTGAGACCGTAGTTTCTACTGGTGTCTTTTTGCAGCTCAAACTATTCCTTCACAAGACAGGATTCTATAACATCAGCATCACTATAGTCTGATTCAGCCTTCTAATTACCATTATCTACTATCCTCTTAGAATTTTTCCAAATATGTGGTAGTCTCGCTGGAAAGATTAGTGAGTACCAAAAGCATTTTTCTGGCCCCAAGCCGGTTGTCCTTGGACAATTGCCGTAAGGTCCTTGGAACTCAGTGCCTGTTTTTAGAAGGAGGGCATTTTAAACCCTCCCCAACTCAGATGCCTACTAGAGGCTGCCTCAGCCCAGCCACATTGTCTGGGAACTTCCACTGCCCCTGCCTGTTCCTGCTACCCCGCGCTCTGCCCAAGACGCTACTGGAAGGCCTAATGTTTCCCTCTCTGTGATACCCCCAGCCCTTCAGCCTGGGTCTTTCCCACTCTAACTGCAACTCGGAGCATCCCCTGTCCCTTTCCAATGTCTTCTTCGTCATCACCTCACTCACAGCTCTCTGTGGCTCCAGGCAGAAGCTGCACGTCCCTCCCTTCCGTTTTGGTCCCTCAACTCCCTTGGGCTCTATATAGCACAGCAATGCCTTCAATTGTGTGGAGCTTCAAGTCCTAGTGCCCCCTCCCCTCCCGTTTTCCTTCCCCAACACAGTAGGCAGCCCGAAGCTCCCCGTTGAGGTAGGGAAGCCCAGCAAGAGTGGGGAGGGGTTCAGAGGAACAGGGAAGGGCATGCTGCATTGTGGGCCACCCAGAGTCCGTTGTCAGGGACTTTCCACTTCTTCCCCAGCGTGCTAACCATTCCCTGCCACTTGCTCTTTCTGAAGGAAGAGGAGCAGGCAGAGTGTGCTGGGAATCCTAACAATCATCTTACTTAACCCTTCGGATACTTAGGATGATCCTGTGGGTACCTGCTATCTCCATTTTGCAGATGATGTAAACTCAGAGAGGTTGAGTGGCAGAGGAGCAAGTATTTAGAGGGTGGTTGGTCAAGCAGCGAGCTGACCCTGCTCTAAACTCCAGCCTCCGCCCTGGATCCCCCATCTGTCAGTATCGTTCAGTTAGAGCCCTGTAAACTAGCATTTCTATTCCTATGACCTGATCTGGAAGAAAGAATTTTACTAAGCAAATCACTCATGTAGAAATGCTGAAACCAAAATAATTCTTAAAGACCTGGCATAGTAACAAAAATGTTATCATAATTTTATCTTCTCTGTTTACCAAAGCAGGACTCTCCAGATATTTGTTCCTTAAAGATCTCTGTGTGTTCTCAAAAGTTTTTGAAAATAAAAAGCAATTTTATTCTCTTTTGGGACTTCTTCTCCACTTTACAGTCATTTTCCCGTTAGTCCAGAATCAGGAGATTCTATTTTGGGAAAGGTGAGAAGTCTAGACCTTTTTCTCTGCGTCACTTACTGGGACCTTGGGCAAGACATTTAACGCAAACCTCAGTTTTTCATCAGTGAAATGGGAAGAATAATAGTAATAGTACTTACTTCATAGTTATTGTAAGGATTATTCAATAACTAAAATAATCTATTTAATGCAGTTAGCACACTTTTGGCTCTGATGTGCTCAGTAACTCATAGCAAGTATTGCTATTTTCTCAGTCCAAGGCTGGGATGCTGTGGGGCATCAACATGATCTCAGCGGAGAGAAGCTGAACTTCACTGTCTCACAAGGGTGTCCAATCTGCGGCCTGTGGGCTGCATGCAGCCCAGGATGGCTGTGATGCGGCTCAACACAACATCCTAAATTTACTTAAAACATTGAGGATTTTTTTTTGTGTGTATGACTATGTGCCGTGATGTACTTCATGTGTGGCCCAAGACAATTCTTCTTCCAGTGTGGTGCGAAGGCCCCGAAAGGTTGGGTGCCCCTGCTAGTGCTTAGTTCCTGTTTTCTGAAGGGCTTGGATTTGATACTGATTCTTGCTCTGTCTCCTCCAGGCATTTCTACCCCCCAGCCCTGGACTAGATCATCCATCTCTTGAGAATTCAGGCCACTACTGGGACCAGGAGAGGTAGCATGGGAGAGGGTGTGTGAATGACTGGGAGGAAAGTTCCCATGGACGCTGGGGATATGTGAAGGCCTTGGGGAGTTGCTGTGACCCCAGGTCTCTTCCTAGAGCAGTGAGTGCTGGGGACAGAAAAGAGAGACATCAGCTGCTGGACAAATTTCCAGGGCTGAAAATCCCCTTCAGGACAGACACATGGGGCTGAGAGTAATTTTAGGGAAGGAACAAAGGCCTGGGATGGAGTGGGACTCTCCGGGGTGCATTGCAATCTCCCTCCATTTACTGAGCCAGAAGATACTTTTCCTAATTGAGTGGCATGATCGATTGGCATTCCTAAGCTGCTGGACCAATCTGGAGAGGGCTTCAGCTTGGCCAGCTTCCCGGAAAGCAGCTCGGGAGTACAAACTTTGGAGCCAGCCAGACCTGGGTTCGGATCATAGCGCTGCCATTTACTAGTTGTATATCCTTGGACAAATCATTTAGCCTCTAGGAAGCTCAGTTCCCTTGTCTGTAAATGAGCAGCTACTTACCATATAGAATAGTAGAGAGGTTGAAATGCAAATGTCTAGAATAGAACAGACACTAATGCTGGTCATTGTCATCTCTGTGACCTGAGTGAGCATTACCCTCGGGCAGTATACAGAGCTCTGGAGCTGTGAAGGAAGTCCCAATTGTTCCAAACTCCTGACCAAATCTCCTTGGTCTAGAAAACATCCTTGAAGGTGTCAAGACCAAGACCAGAGAGCCTGCCTGCCACAGTTGGAGAATTTTATTTACAGCCCCCATTGTTCATAAGAGTATTGGAGGCAGTATAGCTCGGGGGGAAAACCCTGGATCTCTACCCATCCTTGCCTCTATATTCCCATCTCAGTTCTCCATGTCAAGTCCATCTCTGACCCAGCCACTTACATCCGTGGGAATTAAAGGATTAAATCTAAAGGGCTCCTTTCCATTTGGTCTTGCATTGCTGTCCAGTGCCTGGAGCCCAGCCTGAAACTCAGCAGATGGGGGGTTAAGACTGATGCCCTGTCCTATCTCCTCCCCTCTCCATTCCTGACTTCAAAGTCTCCATAAAGCCTGCCACTGCTTCTCTGACCCCATCGTGGCAGCTTCATCATCAGCTTTTGGTTGGTTCAGCAGATGCTGAGCCCTGGCCCAGCGGCTTGCAGTCCACTTCCCAGCCACCCCCTGCGGTAAGCACCAGCATGCGGGGCACCTGTAGGGCCAACAGTTCTTGCTCCTCCAGAAAAGGAGGGGCAACCAGGTATAAAAGTTGCCTCAAATGGGGAGTTTGTTTCATGGTTAGATTTAGAAGGCAGCCCACAGGCAAGAACCCTGGGTATAAGGACCAGGACTCTGGGACTCTGTCCAGTTTGTGACCAGAGCCGACATTTACAGGGGTTAGCAAGTAGGACAATAGGGGTCACCAGTCCAGGGAGGGAGACAGGGGGTCGCTATTTATGAAGAATCTGGCAAGAGATGGACCTGCATATGGGAACAACTCAGGGACCAGAATTTGTTCTGTTAGCATTGATGTCCGAAATCTACATGGAAGTACACGCAATCCACGTCTACTTATTTAATCTTGGGCCCCAGTGATTGGGTAACTGTGCTCTACAGCCTGGGATGGCTCTGGCTCCCTGGGGCCAGATCATGCTCTGTAGCTCCCTCAGGAGTAACTGTCACAAACTCAGGGGCGGGGGCGGGCGGGGGGCCCTAGGTTCAAAGCCTTTTCCTCCCACCCTTGTCTGTGGATTTTTCCAGCTGCTTTTCTTTGGCCCAAGGATGACACCCATAGGGATGCAGATTGGGGAGGGGGAAGCAGAGAAAACAGTCAAGTTAGAACAAGCGGGGGAAGAGGCAGATGTTAGGGAGATGGAGAAATGGCGCTAGTGGTCCCGCCATCCCAGAAGGGACAGCTGGGGTATTTTTTTAGGTAGCAGCCATGCAGGGCATGGTAAGGGGGAGGGTCGCAGCAGGCAACTTTCTCCTTTGCACCCCAAACTGAGGGACACTGGAGTTCTGATTGTGGGGTGCCTCCTTCTAGGACTGGGCTGAAGCCTAGGAGCCCCAGCTGCCAACATCCAGGGGCAGGATCATGTCTGCTGACAAAGGCTGGTCGGTGCCGCCCGAAGGTGAAAACAGCGTGTCTGAGAGGCTCCTGAGGAAGACCAGGGAGTCTCCGCTGGTGCCCATAGGTGAGTGGGAAAGGAGGAGTGGGGGGCGAGGAGGGGCCTTCTCTTTGAGCGCCTCTCCTGGTCCTTCCAAGGAGGGAAGCAGGGCACTCCAGTGGGCCTACCCACTGGACACTCAACAGCTGGGACTGGTGTGTGAACCACTTGGCAGAAGTGCCAGGGGATAAAGGGACACCCTCCTACAATGAACTGAGGTCTGGAGGGGTGGCGGTGGCAGCCAAGGGAGTGCGTGGGACCTGGGGACCCATGGGGCACCGACACCAATGTCAGGAGGGGAGCGAGCAGTTCGGGGTCCCCCAGGGCTTCCTTCCTCAGGGAAGGAAGTTAGGAAAATGGCTGTACCAGGATGTGGGAGCCACTGGTGGCTGAAGGGCCCGGAGCAGAGCTAATGGGGGTGGGGGAGTCACCAGAGGGGACGGCCACTTTGAAAATGCCACCCAGAGGAGACAACTCAGCTGTCTAATAACCTCCCACAACCCCCGTGAAGCTGCACCAAAGCGGCTGTTCACCCAGACGCCAGTCTGCCTCACGAGGCGTCTCTCATCGGGAGCGATGTGCTTGTGGGTGAGGCCCAAGGGTCATATTCTCCGACTGCAGGCTTAGGAGGCTGCCTGGTGGTGGCAGCCTACAGGATTTACCGGCTGAAGGCTCGTGGTTCCACCAAGATGTCCATACACCTGATTCACACCCGAGTGGCGGCGCAGGCCTGTGCTGTGGGTGCAATCATGCTAGGTGAGTGGGGTCACCGGAGGGTGGAGCTGAGAGTCCCAACAGTTAAGGGACCATGGTTTCAGTCCCTGCTCCCTATACAAGTCACGTATCAAGTCCATTCTGAGACATTTTCAGGGTTCCCTGTTTAATCTCCTGTCCCAGGCCTGTGGGGACAGTGCGCAGTGTTTCATGACAAGTTTGCCCTAGAGGTGAGAAAAACCATGCGACAGAACATAGGCTGAGCTTTAATCTCTTCTGCTCTGGCTCGCCAGAGCCAGAGATTAAAATAATTAGACAGCTACTTACTAGCTGTGTGACAGTGGACAAATCCCTCTCTCATATCCTTGGGTTCCCCAAGTGTAACGTAATAACCACCCCTGGCTTGCCTGCCTCCCATGTTGCCTGTGGTTTCTCAGATAGAAATGCACTTGAAATGCTTTGTGAACTGTCAAATGGGTTGTCTCCCCAGGCTGCGTGGGCAGGTGCCCACAGCAGCTGCCGACAAAGATGAGCAGGTAGGCTGGTCTCTCAAGGGACCAGCTAAGAGTCAGACCCCTGGGGCTCCGCTCGGTTGTCACTCCTCCCTGGGACACCTGGGAGAGTCAGAGGTCGGGTGAAACTTTCAAGGGGCACTCTTCCGTCTCCCTCACATAGGTGCTGTGTACACCATGTACAGAGACTTCATCAGGAGAACGGCCCAGGACGCGGGGGAAAAGTAGGTTCCTACAGCCCGGTGCGGTCAGACCCGCTCATGTGGATCCCTGATATGTTCCTAATAAAAGAGTTTTGCAGGAAATCAAGTCTCTTGTTCACCTGGGGCAGAGCAGAGTAAGGGACTGGCAGTGGCTGGTAGGGGAGCCTAGAGCAAAAGGTTGGAAATCAAAGCGTCCTGGCCCCCCAACTCCAGGGCCACAGAGGCTCTCAGGGGGGCAGAAAGGGAGGTGCGGCGGACCTCTGGTCCCAGAAACCCAGCAACTCTCAGGCCAGCTTGAGTCCCGCCCGGGGCAGCCTGGCAGAGCGGCCGGGTGCCGGAAGTGGGAGCGGGGCGGAAAAGGGGCCTCCTGCTCCAAGGATGCCGCCTGGACAGGCAGGGGCTCCTCTCACCACAAAGTGGCCTCCCTGGGGACCCGGGCAGGAAGAAGGCTGCAGCTGGGAGCCGCGGCCGCGGTGCCTCCTGGGAGACGGCACAGATTTAGAGCCCAAGTGCCAGGACTAGACTGTGCTGGAGAAAAGGGGGCGGAGGGGCGGGCGGAAAGGAACAGAGAAAGGCAGAGGTCAGAATGTTCTGTTTACTTATAAACCATGGCTGAGGTCAAACTTGTAAAAAAAAAAAAAAATTCCATGTAAATTCTGAGGACAGGGCCTCTTGGGGTTAAACACTTTATGCCCCCTTCTCCTTCCCTGAGCCCAAGCTCCTCTCTGTTCCCTGGGAATGGAGCCAGGCAGAGGCCACGGGGGGAACTGGGGGCATCTTCGGCCTCCCTCGCTGGGCCCTGGGTTGGAGGCTCTTGGGTTGTTGAAGGTGGACACAGCAGTCCCCAGACACTGACAACAGAGTCCGAGCCGCACCAGGTCCCGGCGTCCAGTCCCGGATGCCGCCCCTGCAGCGCGCAGGACCTGCTCCGAGTCCTGGCGCTCACATGGGGTAATTGAGCACAACATCCTGCTTGGCGAGCTCCAGCAACATAGGGTCGTCGAAGAACTTGCTGATGCTCACGTCTTCGCTCAGGCCCTGCGGGGGGTGGGGCAAATACAAGAATGAGGCCTGTGTGGTGCCTGAATTCGTGGGGGGCCACCTGAGAGCGGGGTGGGAGGCTGGTGGGGGGCGGAAGGCCGGCCAGGCTGGTTCAGGAGCCCTGCTTCCAGGGCGTTGTCACCAGGGAGCAGGTCCTCCTCTCCCAGACAGACTGGGTCCCAGGCCCGGCTACCTGAGGCCTGCACAGACTGCGTCTCCAGCTCATATAGTAAACTGCTCTTAATCTTCAGAAGGGTCCAAAAGGAAGAAACGGAGAGAGGGAACACTCATGCTGAAGCCCCTGAGGGCTGGGGTGGCAGTGGGTCTGAGGACACACACCTTCCTACGACGGGTTTTGATCATGAATTCTCGGGCCAGGTGAGGAGCTGGCTGTGGCTCCAACGGGCGAATGACAATGCTCTTATCCAGAGGGTCACCGGGAACAATCTGAAAGGCAGAGGGGTTGCAGGGGGTCCAGGCAGGCCTCCAGTGCACTTCGGTCTGGGTGCAGGACTCTTCTCAAGGAGGCTGGAAAGTCTCGGTCGGGGCTCGGAAGGGGACCAGGTCAGAAGGGATGGGTCTCGTACAGGCGGGAGGCCAGGTCGGCCAGCCCGCACCATTTCCTTACCTGCCAATGGTGAAAGACAGACAAGGAGAAGGCCTGGCCCTGGGTGTGAGTCCGCAGATCCGTCTCAAAGCCAAAAGAGTCAATAGCTGGGATGAAAGCTTTGATGGTGTAGAGAGGGGAGCCTGGGATGGGCGCGTCCTGAGTCACGTGCCCCCTGAGACAGAACAACAAAGGCTGAGTCCCTAGTCCTACAGACGTCAAAAGCAGGGATGCGATCTGCTCCCAAATACTCCCCAAACCAGGATTACCATCAAAGAAAGTGTAACTGAATGCACTGTGGGAGGCAGAAAGGGCTGGGCTTCTCAGTTTAATTCCTTATGGTGGTCAAACGGGCAGCGACCTCGGGCCCGAGTGCGAACATCAACAGAGGAGGTTTTACAGGCGTACTAACCCCCACAGTACTTTCCCCAGGAGCTCTCTCGGGGTGGGGGATGTGTGTGTCCAATATGGGATCTCAAATTTTAATCTGCAGAAAAGCTGGGGATTTCCTCATTCCTGCTCCTACTTCCTTCTGAAAGGCCCGCTCATTAGGTTTCAAGAGTGCAGAGGATGGGGAGGGTCGGTAGCCGAGCAACTTCCTGCCCTGCTCTCCCTCTCCCTCTCCGCGCTCCCCAGCTGCCGGGGGCGGCCCACCTGCGCCTGGCCAGGACGGTGTACACAGCGGAGACACAATCTGCGGGGGCCTGGACCTCTACAAAGTAGTAAGGCTCCATCAGGCGAGGCGTTGCCTGAAACAGGGCAGCAGGAGGGCGTTCCTCAGTCTGGGGACGGCTGCGGACTGACCGCAGGCCCCAGGCAGCAGGCCCCACTCACTCACCATGAGGAAGGCAGAGTAGACAACCCTCCTGGCCGTGGGGATGATCTGGCCCCCGCCCCGGTGCAGTGGCTCCTGGGCAACCACTGCATCTAGGATCTTAAACTTGACATTTCGAATCACTGGAAAGAAGATGGGGTGGCTGATTAAGGAGTGGTTCTGGTGCTAATTAAGGGCCCACAACCAGAGCAGCAAGGAGCCTCTTGTAGCTCTGCAGCTGTCCTGCGGCCACAAAAGGTACAAGATGACCCTGCAGATGGGCATTCGGATAGGATACGCAAGGCCTGTAGCAAAGAGGACTGCGGTTAAGCATACGTTCATTTGTTTCAGGCCATGCTCGGACATCGTAAAGCTCCCCTGGAAGTTTACGTACTTCTTTTGCAGACATCTGACTATTTTTGGATGTAGAGCAAGTTCTAGGAATTGGGTATTTGTTCCAATTAAGTCAGGTTCTGATCTATAAACCACTCTGATCCCATCTTCCTCTTGCTACACCTCCTCAAACATATTCCTTCTCAAGAATGAGGAACCAATGTCAATCTAGAAATGACTTCAATTCCAGGAGGTGCTCAGTGGTAGCAATTAGGGAGGGACAGAGGGAGGAACCTGGCCCAGGATGCGGGATAGCCCTGTGTACCCCGCGCTGCTTCTCCTGCCAGGTCCCAAAGAGGCGCCCACCCACCCAGCTCCTGTACCCGGGGGCAGGGACCCGAGGGGCTCCAGGGAGGGGAGGTGGAGAAACTGGCAGACTCACACTCGTCACAGAGGGGCCCTTCCCTGGTTCCCCACTGGAAACCCTGCACAATGCTGTCCTTCACTGAGCCAAGAAGAGCCTTGTCCACCTGCACAGAACAGAAGGGTCCTTTAGTAGTGACCCTGGCAACAGCCAAAGAGTTTAGAGGGAGAAGAAGGTAGGTGCACTGGTAAGAGCATATTCTCCTTCACCAGAAGATACAAAATACTTTCAGGAAAAAAAAAAAAAAAGAACACTTGGCAGTGTCTTCCACTTGAGCTAAGAACCGCCACATGCTCCCATCCGTCCTTGGTACCTCAGAGGGCAGAGTGTCATCCACCAGGATGTTGGGGCCAGTGGCATCAGGGCCAAAAGCCCAGATGGAACGGGCAGCCAGCAGATCCCAGTCGTACTTGGTCTGGAAGAACTCTCCCAGCTTCTTCCTGGGGGAGGGGGAGACGAGGGAGGGCTCAGCCAGCTCTGCGACGGCTGGCGCCTGGGGCCAGGGGCCGCCTTTCTGGAGACAGTCGCCTCGGCCCACCTGCACTGTGCCCAGGACAAGAGCGAAGTCACTTTCCAGGAGGCGGCGTGGTCCCGGAGACCAAGCGGGCAGGCTGCGGGCCCCCACCCTGCCCCCCCGCAGCCCAGCCTGCTCACCTGTTCCAGGTGATCTGGACCACCTCGTTCTCAATGTCCTCGGCGAGGCCCTTCTCCAGGGGCTCGGCGATCATGGTGATCTTGTTTCTAGTGAGACAGGAAATAGGTCATGAGGTGGCTGAGCTGGACGAACAGAAGGGCCACTCCTAAGGGAAGGGTGACACGGGAACAGCTAAGGCAGTGACACCAGTGAAAACCACGGCAGCGGGACAGAGCCAAAAGGGCTCGCCTTCTGTCTGCCTTCACTGGAACCTACCATTCTTAAAAAAAAAGGAAGGTCTGGGGCGACATTTTCAGACGGCCATATTATAGAGAAAGGAGAAGGGACAACTGCAAGTCATCCTGGCACAGAAAATCTGGCAAAGGATTTCGCAGGCTCGTGGCCAAAGGCATAATGGACCACAGGCCCGGGCTAAACCTCGAGAACCCGGAGCACCCCCGGCCCAAGGCCGTGGGGTCTCTGCTTCCAGTGCTGTGACTGTGGCGCAGCTGGTGGGGAGGGGGTGTCTCCTGTCAGTCTGAGGGACACTGTGACCCTCAGCTTATCTCCTTTTTAAAAAAATTATTATTTATTAAATCCTCACCTGAGGACACATTTATTGCTTTTAGAGAGAGAGGAAGGGAGGGAAAGAGAAACATGGATGTGGGAGAACCTGTTGGGCGCCTCCCGTCTGCACCCCAACTGGGAAGTGAATCGGCAAACACAGAATAGGCTGTGACAGGGAATTGAACCTGCAACCTTTTAAAGGAGTAGGGAATGACGCATCAACCAATGGAGCCACCCAGCCAGGGCTCTGAGCTTACTTCTTATTGGGTGTTTCAGCAAAGCACTTGAGGGAGGATGTTTCTACCACTGTCTCACAAAAGGTAACAACAGGATCAGCAACCTGGGAAACCAGATAAATCATTAGGCAAGGTCTCGTTTTGTTGGAGGACAACCTTCTGCCAAAGGTCATTCTGAGGGCCCCTTGACGCCATCTCTGTGAGAGCCCCTGGTCTTAATCAGCATCGGTGACAAATACAACAGCAAGCTAAAAGTCACTACAACTCGCCATCGCTAAGAAACCTGAGAAAACTTAGTGTAGTGCAGTATTTATGTTCTGGAGCCAAGAGTCCATGAGGGTCTAATTAGGATTTAAACATAGTTCCCCAAGGTACCTTCCAACATCTGCTCACCAGACCCACAACCGTCCACTGAAGAACCCCTGTGGGTCTGTCGGAGG